CTGCCTCAGAAACCCAAGGAGGGGTCGCTAGGAGTCGGGGCCGACTCGATGGCAAATAACAACAACGTTACCACAATCTGACTTCTAAAAATCAGATCGTCAGATTTCCTTTTAGTGTTTTTCTCATCACCAAACATTAAACTAAGACAAAAATCACAGTATGTTTTATCCAATACATGAGCAATTTTGTACATTGTAATGCACACTGGAATAAATATCCAGGTGTCATTAGGATATGTGTAACAACAAACAGTCTCCTGAATATAACAGATGTCTTTTAAAACAGCTCATATCCAGATCATTTGTTGTGTGAATGCATACCAAAAGTAGTTTAGCATTCTTATTCCTTTAACTTTAAAAAACTCTAGTATCTTTTGGTCTGGTGGAAGTTTTCATTTCAGAAGGCTTAGTGAAGAGATATTCTAAAGATTACTTGAGCCTATGACTGACCAATCTCAAAGATGGATAATTCTTACATCTTGGAACTGTATTCACTGACATATTTTTTTATATTATTCATTTTCTAGAATTTCTTGGACCTGGAATACAAACTTTTTTTTTTTTTAAGCAAACTAGTAATAAAGCTGGATGCAATTGCCCAGACAACATATGCAGCAGCATCAATGGAAATATAAAGAATCAGTTTTCCATTTGGAGCTGTTTTAACTCACATTCTCATTAATTTTAATACTGAATTTGTCATCTTTCTACAAACCCAGTAAAACCTGTGAAAGCCAGAAACTGTGTAAGGCAGAAACTTGTCAGAGAAGGAAAACTCAAATATTTTTCACTAAAATGAGTGACAGAAATGTGGTAAGACTGCACCCAGTCAAAGGTGGAAATCTTTTGTGACCCACCCAGAAAAACAAGGCAGTGCCATCAAGTTCCAGCTCTTACAAGTATTATTCAAGAGGTTTTCAATAGCTATTTTTCCCATTTGGAGAAAAAAATTATTATTAAGTCATAAAACACATCTAAGTCAAAGCTGCTGCTTCAATTAGCAAACTGATCAGTATAGGAGGGAGAACATACTAGAGAACAAGGCTAAAATCTCATACCAAAGAGTTCTTTGTGCCCTAAAAAGTTAAATAGTCATTTATTATCCAATGTTATTTTAGCTAAGGGTTATCATCATCTTCCTGTTGATTTAGATTTGGCTTTATAACTCAGGAGAGATAGAAAAGCTCAATAGGATTAATGCATATGTAGTTGAAGAATATAAAAGTAGCAAAAGAAATTAAAAATGGAAAGCCAGCAAACCGAAAACTAGAAAAATAATCAGGGTGAAATTGGGATGAAGAATGGTCAATAGCTAATATGCACTCCATTGCTGTCAAATTGATTCTGATTTATAGTGACAAAGTAGAACTCCCCCATGGGGTTTCCAAGGCTATAATCTTTATGGAAGCAGACTGCCACATCTTTCTCCAACAAAGCAGCTGGTGGCTTCAAACTGTTGACCTGTTAGGAGTCGAGTGCTTAACCACTACACCACCACAGCTCCTTGGCAATATACAAAGACTTTTATATATGCTCTCTCATTTACTCTTTACAATGAGATGTAAGGTAACCATCAACATCATCATCTCTTTTTCACATAAGAACTGACGTTCAGAGGTGACTTGCCAAATAGCAAGCAGTAGATTACAGAATTTGGGTTCCAACCAAGTTCTAGTTCAAAGCTTGATTAACTACTCTATACTGTCTTAAACTAGCTACCATTTTTCAGGGGGAAAAATAAAACAAGTAGAGTGTAAACTCCCTTTTAGGATTAAATTGAATGCAATTTCTTATGATCTCAGAAATACCCTTTGAAAAAAATAAATACATCTGGTATCTTTTTCTATTTTTTCTCCCTAATGAAGCTGGGAAGAAGACTGCGATTAGGCCAAAGGTGAAGAGGGTAAGCGGCTGAAAACACTTCATGATGGAAAAGGAATCAATATTGTAAAAGTTTGCAAGCTGCCATCAAAGGCACAACAACTGGTATCTCTTCTCCTGGGGCATCAGAGGAAGAAGGACAGTCAGAAACAGGAGGAGGATATGGAATTTGTGGCCAACTGCCTCCATGAACAACTGCCACCTTTGCCATGAGACCAGAAGAACTGTATAGTGCCCGGCTACCATTAGTGAAAATTTTGATCAAAGATTCTATAGAAGAATCCTGATCAAAGGGGAGGAAACATAGAATAGAATTTCAAATCCTCATATTTTCTGGAGCCATAGAGGATGGATGAATTCCTGAAACTATTGCCCTATGATAATCTTTAAACCTTAAATCAAAAATACCCCGTTAAAACCAAGTAACAGTTTAGTTTAATGATTAAAAAGGTTTTCTTTGAATATTATGCTCTTTTAATAACAATCTACATAGGATTAAATTGACAAAAGCAACTTGAAAGATTAGGACAGTGAGTTTATGTTAATGATGCAGGAACAACTTAGAAAAGGAGGGTGAAAATGGTTGCACAACTCAAAGAATGTAGTCAATGTCACTAAATTGTATGTGTAGAAACTGTTGAATTGGTGTATGTTTTGCTGTGTAAATTTTTAACAACTAAATAAAATTTAGAGGAAAGAAAAGAAATCAATAGTAGTAGAGGATTTTATCCCATTCTAAATGTGTTTAAAACAAGAGAAGACAAATTAAGGGTAAAGTTTCAATAGTAAATACAGTTCCATGGTTCGAAAATCAAAAACATAGTAAAAGATATTAAAAGAAAAAAAAAAGTCCCATTCCCTTCCCTGTTTCTATTCATCTCATTTCTCCTTCCCTTGACAAAAGTAATCACTTTTACTAGTTTTATGTATATCCTCCTAGAGCTTCTTTATGGAAAAATACAAATATGAATGTGCTTATTTCTCCTGTTTCTTATACATACTATACAACTGACTAGTACCTTTTCTCAAAAACAATGTAAGAGAAAAAATAACACTAAAGTATCTTAAAATACCTTTAGAGAATGGAATGATTTTAAAATATGACCTAAATCCACTACCACAACAGCATTATTGTATTAAGATAATACTAATATTAAACTTTTTGCTTAATTTTAAATGAAATTAAATTATAGGCTTCAAAATACAAAAAGTTAACCTTTTTTAACCCAAATTATCATTTTAGCTACCCAAGCATTCAGCTTTACCCTTTGGAAGTTACTGAGTATTTTGTAACCTAATGGCTTTTCTCTCCTCTTCTACATTTCCTCAAGTAATCTCAAAAGGGTGTAAATAACTTTTTGCTTTAGTCAGAGCCTTTTCCTTGGACCAAGAAAATTAAGAGTACTGTTGTAAGATTTTCCAAACAGTTTTGAGTTCTTTAAAGTCTGAATATTGATCCTTAATGCTAGAAGATACTACTGAATGTAGAAGAACCAGGATAGTAACAAATATGTTATTGCAGTGAGTCCAG